TCGAGGATATCAAAGCAAGGTTCGGAAAAGCAAGACAAGCTTTCACTACTCTCAAGTCTGTGTGGAGGTCAACAGCACTCAGCATGAAAAATAAGATCCGGATATTCAACTCCAATGTGAAGTCAGTGCTACTATACGGATCAGAGACTTGCAATGCGCGTCATAAAGAGCATCTCAAACAAACTACAGACCTTCATTAACAGTTGTCTCCGTTCAATTCTTCTCAAGATCAGATGGCCAGCCAGGAAAGATCAGCAACAGAGATCTTTGGGAGCGAACCAATCCAGCAGGAACCGATTGTGAAACAAATAGGCAGGAAGAAAAGGAGATGGATTGGCTGGCCATACTCTGAGGAAACCATTAAGTGACATCACTAGACAAACCATTGCTCGAGTGGAACCCGGCCGAAAGGGAAGCGACGAGTTGGTCGTCAGTGCAAGGGTGACTTGGAGGAGGTCATGTGAAGAGGAGATGAAAACGTGTGGGTAGACTTGGAGCCAGTTGAAGACTCTAGCAGAGAACCGAACGGAATGGAGACGCACGGCTGAAGCCCTATGTTCCTGTAGGAATTAAAGGAAACAATAATAATAATATTGCAACAGATAGTGGCTTTAAAAAATAAATTAAGCTCAAGAATCCCCGGTTCAGTTGTGTAATAACTTTCATGTTTTTCACTACTTTAGCCGCTTTTATTGATCAAATATTAATCCTACTTAATTTCACGACATGTACATAAAGAAGTCCACCTTTCTTAATTGATTAACTCAATATTTTTTTCATGATACTGTTGTCCACTACATAATTTTTTGAGTGTATTGAAAGTTATCTATATATCAAGTGTATTTATCAAGTGGATATTCTAATTGACTTCAATATTTTCTGTCTTAGATGTAATGAGAAAATAAACATGCTTTATTTTTTCAAGAAAGGGACAGACCTTACTGAGATTCTCTGTCCTATTGAATCAATATGAAGTAGCACTTGTAGGTTATTCTTGATAATTATCATACTGGTACCCGTCTCCATTTAGGGAACAGAGAAAGGGAGAGAAAGAGAAAGGATCAAATAAGCTATTGTCATCTTTAAAAAAAATACGATGACTAGAAATGAAATGTGATAAAAGACTATAAATGGAAAAAATGATTAACAACTTTCGAATATTTTAATCCCACTTTTAAAGGCTATAGACTAATTAGATTATTATTATTATTATTACTACTACTACTTTACCGTTGTTCGGAATTGTAAATCTTTGCCTCAATATACATAGATAATAACTGTATTGTTCACCTATACAGAGTATATGTATAGCAGGTTAAATAAGTCCCAATATTTTATCAAGCTCCTAATCTAGCCATTTGTTGACTGTCTAGTCGTACAGAAAATATGGTCGGCTTCTTCAAGTATTCAAACTACCAAGTTATCGAATTTATCATAATGTGATTTAGTGACGAAATCAAGTCTTGAACTTTCCTACAAATTAATCTGTCAGTTGTGACCGTCTTAACTGATCTGTTCTTCTTAGATATTTCCGTGACTACCAGGATCATCGTCACCACCTCTCTTTTGATAGTAATGGTCTTTCAAGAGTATGGTTTGTAAGGATTAGATTTGTTTATAGGAGTTTGACCGTGGATTAAAAACAAGAATCATGTGACTTAGGTACTTTTACACCTAAGTCAATGTATTCAAGTATTGGTTTGTAGGGATTTGGTTGATTGGTTACAGGATTTCATCATGAGCTGACATTGGTTAGAGAACCATTGGAAAACCTGGGAGTACTAGACAGTTGTTTCTTCCTAGTTTGGGAATCTTCAGCAGTACGCACCCACTGTCCAGTACTCCCAGGTTTTCCAATGGTTCTCTAACCAATGTCAGCTCATAATGAAATCCTGTAACCAATCAATCAAATCCCTACAAACCAACACTTGAATATCAATGAGATGCTCACTAGCGACTGGCCCTATTCAGGTAAGTAGTTACCTGTGGTTCCAGTGGGAAGTCGTGACCAGTAGGGTGCACCAGGTCGGGTGTGAGGACAAATACTCACTGAAGACATTGGCTAGCGGTTGCGCTATGTCGTGAATTGGCAGAAGTTAGAATTCATGGGCCATTGGATCGGGTCCCAGTGGCTTAATGGTCTACGAGCTAGCTCCCCTTGTAGCCAGTAGGTCCTGGGTTCGAACCCCGTGGTGTGGGTGCGTACTGATGAAGAGTCCCAAACTAGGACGATAGAGCAGCTGTCCAATACTCCCTGCAGGTTTTCCAGTGGTTGTCTAACCAATGTCAGCTGATGATGAAATCCTGTAACTAAGTCAATGTAGTTTTTAATATTCGTATAGATAGATAGAGAAGATGTACATGAATTTCAAAAATAGAGACAGAAACATTAGAAATTAGAAATAATTTTGTAATGCTATAACCAAAGGCTAGAACTGCATATTCCCTAGACTGTTTGTACTCATGGAAATGAACTCATTGAAATGCTACAGTAAAGGAATCCTAATTTAATTTAATGAATTGGTCATATATATCTATCTAAAACTTCAGAGTAATGCATTTGTTAAATATTTCATGTAGTTTCACTGTATTACTAGTCTCCAGAATGTAAATAATAGAAAAGCTGACGTATTGAAATGCCAGGACAGTTGTGTTCAAATAAAAGAACGCTATTTTCTACATTTCCTGCTTACAGATGTTTAAGTCAAAACCAGTTTACGCAAAATAGTTTAAGCCAATTAGATTTATTAACCGGGGACATATTAAATATTTGCTTAAGGAGTATGTCAATATTTGCCCTCTTATCCGATGAGAATGATCCAGTGGGCAACTCTTTGTCTGTCGGTAGTTTAACGCTAAAACACTTGCCAGCCACCCAGGAGGTATGTGTTCGATTCCCAGACAACTCACTCTTAAACTTCACTTCTTTTATCAATCAACCTCACTTAGTTAACTAACCCATAGTCTAAGCCCTGAAAAGAGGCAGAGTTGGGAGTATGGCCAGCAACTCCATCTCGTAAAAGCAACATCGCTATGGTAACTTCAAAACTCGAAGTCTTGCGTCCCACTATGAATGCAAGAAGTGAAAAATATCCTATGAGTACCAGGTGATCTAACATCATTTATAAAAATGACTGCCGATGGATGAATCGAGTCTTGATATTGTGGCGTCGTATATAGAGCTCCACAGTGGTAAATGTTTCCACTTAAACTTCCAAGCCTCCAAGCTCAAAATAAACACCACCTTATTTTACTTATACTTTCTTCTATTCTGTCTGAGTGGAACTGATCAAATTTGTTCAGTGCTGCCTTAATGACTGTATTCTATTTGAATAAACTACTTTTTTTTTTACAATTTTGAGTATAAATGCTTATTATCCGTTGAGGATATCTTACGAAGTTGGTAAGGGAAATGTGTAATTACTTCGTTTTTAACTTTTTTGGAAATAATAATAATGTTGGAATTGCATGGAGGATTTCATCATGAGCTGACATCAGTTAGAGAACCACTGGAAAACCTGGGAGTACTGAAGAGCTGTTTCGTCCTAGCTTGGGACTCTTCATCAGTACGCACCCATCGGGATTCTAACCCAGGATCTTCTGGTTACAAGGCGATCTCGTAGAGCATTGAGCCACTGGGTACTGCTGAAGAGTCCCGAACTAGGACGAAACAGCTGTCCAGTACTCCCTGCAAGTTTTCCAGTGGTTCTCTAACTGATGCCAGCTCATGATGAAATCCTCCATGCAATCAAACAAAATTCCTACAAAACCATTATTTAAAAATGTTTGAATTGTTTTCTTATCTTTTTTGTCATTTGTTCAGATTAAAACTTTAAAACCAGTACAGTTATAAATGTTTGTATTGTGCTAGTTCACTCCATTCAATGCATACAATAAGCAACCAATCAACAGTAACTGCGGAAGCATTACTTTCTCTCTCCTACTCACTCTCACACACACACAAACATATTCGGATAGACTTTCTATTTTAATCTATCTGGCCATATCCATTTCTAACATAATTCGCATTACTATGATGACTTGGGTATAAACATACATCATATATTGTTGAGCTATCTGTTTTCGGTCAGGCTAGTTGTATTCTGACAGTCACTTTTCTACCCTTGCTTGAACTTCTACAAATAAAAAAAAAGACTTGCTTTCCTTCCCTTCATCTGACGTGTGATGTTCCACCCCCCCTTTCACTGGATTAATTTAGCCAATGACACTCGAGTGATTAGTTTGTGCACCTTTCTCTACTCTCTTCCCCGTTTAGATTAGTATTTTTCATTTCGTCTGTAGATTTGTATACCACTCTATCTATCTATCTCTCTCCCTATGTCACATATATGATGCACATTGAATAAGAGAAGAAAGATTGAATGCACTGAAATCGAATTTCGAAAAATTAACCTGATCCTACATCATCATCAAACTATATAGTTCACTCTCTTTACAGTCAGTCTACAACAGACAGACATATCTATTGATATACACACGCCTGTCATGACAGGCGTATACAAACATTCGAGTGAGTGAATCCATAAATCTCTAACATCTGCTTGCTCGTTACTTTATAATTGAGAATGCTCAATCACAAAACTGACATGAATACACATATATATATAAACTGCAGGGCCAATGTGGTGGTGGTGGCGGTGGTCATAGTATTAGTGGTGATCTGTGTAGGCTGAGTTGGTAGAGGTGGGTGGGGTGAAAATCATCATCTGCACGATAAGCTTAGCATTAGGTACCAGTGACTGAACGAGAAAACGAGTTAGTTTACAAATGGTAAGAAGGAGAGAGAGTAGTGGTGGACAGGATGAATGAACTATCACATCATTTAAGGCTGTTTAAATAATTAACCTATTGAACGAATAAATACTAAAGTGTATGTATTTATGGGTGTATGTGCGTATGTTTGTATGTGTGTACAATCATACTGGAAGATGCTTATTTAATACACACGGATGTTATTTAATTTTCATTACCAACGATTGCTGACATTCAGTTTTACTGTAAAATAATCAACTAATAGTTGGATTGGGATCGTACTTATATAACTTGGATAAATAATCTGATCAACGTAAGTTCTGTTCATCATATAATCTTTTTTTAATGGTTTGACGATTTATTTAATTTTTCCAACTGTTATTTTAAAAAGATTATTATTAATAAGATATAGTTGCGTCAGTATGTAGGCAGAATTTTTAAAATGGTTAAAATTCACCAACATAACTGTGCATTCTTAGATTGTCAGCTGAAAGGAATATGAACTAACATTATGAAAGATAAACCTGAGTACGCCTGAAGTGGTTGTTATTCCAGTGTTCATGCAGGTTCTAGGTGCTTTTCTGAGATGATAGGAGGCTAGAAGCTTATGTTCCCTTTTTAATCAGGTATTTGTTATTGTCTGTTCCCTTTTTGTGTAAATCAATCAAAGGTGTGGACACAGTTTCTTCTTGGCGTTAGCCCCAAGAGCTAATGACCCAGTGTATCAGCTAGTGTTCCTCATAGAACTCTAAGAGATTCCATAAATGTGGTCAGTGATGACTGAATGTGAAATGAAAATCTAGACCGGAGTAAGTATAAAATCCGTGGTCTCTGAATTATGAATCCCATGTTCTAGCCGCTGAACTATGAGATCCAACTGCTCACCAGGTCATGCATGATTTCATAGTAATCATCACGTGCAATACCCAGTGGTCACGTGATTGAATGAAACCTTACTCTGCGTATGTCATCACACTGGCTGCTCAGATAGATCTTTTACTGAATAAGAAGGGGAGCTGTTGGTTGTTGAATTGATGGTGGGATAATTTCGGCTTCAGTCATTGCTGAGACTACATCAGTAACAGTCACCTCACTCCAGAGGTTAACATCAATGTCATAAACTTTTGAATGTCAATGCATACTTAAATCTCTTTTCTGGTGACGTCCAGTTATTTAAAATAACTTCAAATGCTCCACTAACTCCAAGCGATTAGTCTTTTTTCCTGAAGTCGCGAATAAAAATATCCTTTTCAACAAATTCTTATCAGGTCCTCTCTATCCGCCAACTCAAATCTGTGCTTATCATGTAAAAGTTTGAGTAGAAATACGTTGGAAGTGTATTTCTCTGAATGCTAAAGCGATCTTACTTTCAGCTTGCATGACAACACTCAACACCCTGAGGTAGCATATTTCAACCATTATTTGGTGTCTTTGTTTGGTCTGGATTTAAGGCAGTACCATGTTTGTAATTACATCATAAATACACTCACTCTGAAGGAATACGATTACAAGTTCAGTTTAAGCATGTCTACTGTGTCTTTAACATTTTTGAAGCCACCAGTCACTTCGTCCAGTGTATAAAGCCATCTCTATTAACAGGTATGTTTACAATCTATTAGTTAACTGATCCTGGATACTTTAACCATTCCAAGTTCTGATAAACTGTTCAGCTCGCCTTGTAATCGGAAGGTACTGACTTTGAAATGCAGTGGGCGCGTACTGCCGAAGAGCCAGTCCCAAACTAGGGTGAAACAGCTGTCCACTACTCCCAGGTTTTCCAGTGATTCTCTAACCTATGTCAGCCCATGATGAAATCTTAGAATTCAGATTTTTGCTGCTAATTATTATCACGTAAATATTCATACCTCGCCTATTGTCATCGTAGATTAATGAGCATAGATAGTCTAGAGTTGACTACTGAGAAACTAAACCGCAGAACACGCGGTAGTATTTAGTAGCAGAAAGTCAAGTGTTTCTCTTAATCCAATGCAGCATTTTCCAATAATCATTAGCAATGCCAATCAACTAACTATTGATGGACTCCAATGCTTCAGGCTTCTTTGAGGCCATCGGACTATAAATGCATTGTTCACAAGGGTAATTATCTAAACTAAAATATCCCATGATAAATATATTCTTAGAAATATAATGACTACGACTTTTTTAGTCACTGGCTAACTGTGTTCATAAAATATAATATTCTCTTGTTTTAATAAGTAGTGTAAGAAATAAATCTAAATAAGTCGAGGTAATTTACACTAAAATTGTCTTGTTTTCTTTTCCCAAATTAAAATATGCCGAATAGGTTTCTCGAAATCAACAAAAAAACAAAAAAATTGAATCCAAATATTTGAATTTAAATGTTAACTCATACAGAATCAATAATTAATCCCTTAATTTGTCATAATTACAGTTTATTCAATAAACAGACACAATTATATCAGTCTGTTCTACCTGCTACTTCTCCAGTGACTGACACCGAGACAGTCACTACTTCTGCTACTAACAATATTATAATAAATAGTGTTAACACCTCTGACAGTATTGACAGTATTCCCTTGAACGATAAATCTGGTCGTACAACAAATCTGACAATGATGAGGACGAAGTCGGCAGCATCTTCGGAAATATTGGCTAATCACTTGAAGAAGATAAATCAACCAGCTAATTGTGACATAAAACAAAACGGAAACCATACTACTAATAATGGTGATGATAATAATAATAATAACAATCAAAATGAGAAGTTACACTATTACCGATCCTTGCAATATTTAAACTCTTGTTTGTTAAAGTCAATGCAATCGAAGTATACACCTTCCAGTGCAATGCATGGCACTGACAGTGATCATAATCATGAGATACAAAAGCAACTTGCCTCTGAATATAAAACAAAGAAGTTATTAAATACGACTGGAAAGAAAAGCAATCGAACTCCACAAGGTGAATTGTCGATATCTTCAACAGTCCCAGTGAATGGAACACCATCGTCTTCCCCATTGTCATCACCTTCGTCATCATCAGCATCATTATCTACTCCCTTGTCACCATCTTGTGTCTCTTCAGCATTAATACCTAATGAGTTGAGTGTTGTCCAGTGTTCAATGAAAGAGATATTTACGTGCAAGAAAGGAGGTGACGAAGAATATGACAAACGTGAAATTAACCAATCAGTAAATGTAAGTCTATTGTCATTACTTATGTAAATTCTTTTCATTTTGGTGTCATAATTATGTTTTATGTAAAAGAAACCAGTACAGTCAGTGAAAGAATTATCCATCCTTCAGTTCACTAAGGGTATGTTGATTCGTTAGTCTGACTAGCATGTAAGAGTTATACTTGACTTAACTTAGACCTAAATTAGCCACTCTTACAAAAACTTCTTCACCGCTTTATGACCTTAGTTGTACTCTGCCTAATGTGCAAATACTGACGAACGGAATCAAGGTAAAAAGACCTGAGATGGCAAGTGTGACTGGAACAGAGTTATATTTACACAAAAGAGATATAAGATTTGATAAAAAAATAAGAGGTTATACACTTATCTGCAGTCTTGACGGTGGTAGGCTCGGAAAGTGTGCTGGATGAAAGCACAACGAGAGAGCCAACAAAAACCGTACAGGAGATTCACGAATCGAAAGAGGAAGAAGTGCCAAAAGTCGGGTGAGTGAGTTCCGACAAAAGTTCAAGGGTTCAATGTACACTACAGGCAAAGGGTAAGTACTTATCGAGTGCATCGGACGGAAGTTGCAACATATTTGAGAAGAGCAGTAGTTAGAATCTGTGTGATATTCGGTTTTAAATTGGCGACTGAATTGTACACAACTCAATAGATGATCTCATGAAGCCATGTGAAGTTTTGGATGGAGATTTGTAAATCAAAATCCCGGTGTCTCTCTAGAGCTACAAAATATGTCATATCTATGGGGTCTGACAAGCTGTAAAACTAACTTTTTTTTAAAAAACAAATACTTCTGGTTATCTAGCATCACTGTTTATTCACTAATGACATATTAATGTGACTGCAAACAATTTGTACCTTCAGATTTGATCGTGAACTGACTTCTCTTTGGGGACCGTTGAAAAATAGGGAGTAGTGAATTGTTGTTTCACTCTGGTTTGTTACTCTTCAACAGTATGTACCCAAGACTCCCCAGATTACTGAAGACAGAAACTTCAGGTTGCCTGATGAGTCTGTCGACCGTTCGGCTACTGGGATAAAATCCAATGTTCCATGAATTCAAACTTCTGTCATATCCATGCAAACTAACCCTTGAAAATTTGTACTCTTGTAACTTTAATTCCAGTTTCTTATACTTCTGACCAACAGAACTTCATAAATTGTTTTTAAACTAGTCACCTATCATGTACTCAGATTTCGTCTTACTTCTCAAGGTGTACCTAGCATGGGATATGTTTCACTTAACTATGTGAATTAATAGTCTTAATTTACATTTGATCTATCCGGGTGTTTAGACTCGAAGGTGTTTTATGTTAGTTTCGCATTGCATTTTCATAATCCCCATAATCTCTTTTGACATCAAGTTAACTCATTACGAGTTATTCTCAACATCACCTTACACAGTACAAATTAATCGCAGTGAAGGCGAATTGGTTACTGAATGCTAACAATCTACAGCGTAAATGTATTAAATTATTCAAAATCAGTTACCAGAAATTTCTGCTTCACTTACTTTTCGTGAATACTAGTCATTCACAGTTATGGCACAAATGTTCAACTGTGGAGATTCATTTAATTTTGCAGCTAAAACTGACAGCTCTTAATGTTGGCTGGAACACTACACACTTCGGAACGTCTTACACCTGTTGTCAATGTTGAAATAGCTCGCTTAAGTCTTTTTTTCTTCCACAGTCAGAAGTACTAATATTAACTACTTTCAGGAGTCTTAATCGGCAAGAAGTTAAGCATTATTGAAAGCTAATCACCGACGTATATTATGCTAGTACTTTTAGCCAGAAAGTGAAAGACACTGTGTGTACAATGGTGAATACCTTAGAAAATATGGATTACAATTTTTTACAAGTTAGGTGTCCATGTTAAATTAACATTAGTATTTGTTGGTGCTTATTCTTAACTACAGTGAAATGAGCCATTGCTCAGGGAGTAAAAGACTGCTATTTTGAGTCACTGATCAGTTGCGTAACAATTTGAGTGTTAGTGAGTTGCTATGCTATTAGTCTAACTGAACTAAGCAAAATGTTTTGGAATCTGTCATCCGTTGGCCGGAACCAGTATTCTTTCAACACAGCATAGTTAATAACTTATATCATCCATCACAGAGTAAATTTATTTGATTTGTTCTTCTATTATTAACTGATGACGTTTCGAGCACAATTTATTGCTCATAATCATATCAGGATACTCACACAACTCTTCATTTTCATTTATAATACACGTGAATAACAAACTCACTAGACATATGAATGAATGAATAAATAAATAAAAATCAATATAAAATTCGATAGACACGCGTGAACACAGACCATAGGAAACTAATGTACATTCGCAAATAAAATGAGTGTTATTGATAAATTACAATACTATGGGAAAGAAGACGAGTGGTGTTAGTCAATAATGTGTTACTCATGTTTATAAACGAAGTTGGAAAGTTGTACGAGCACCTTGATGCGATTATGAGAAGTAAATTTTGCTCGAAACATTATGAGTAAATGAAACTGCATAACACTGGGAGACTTCGTCAGATAAATTCACTCCATGATGGAATTATACTCAGTGACAGTGCCCAAGTTCTATTCTTAAATCAATGTACTATACAACCTTGTTAGCACAAGTAGACATGAGTAAGTCAAATTAGTCGAAATTTAATGTTCTACATCTTGGCAGTTGCAAATTTTTGCAAAAGAAAAGAATCCTAGTTCCGTGACCTAAGATCCTATTATCTAAGATGTATCTGATTGCTTCTTAAGTGTAATTTTCACTCATAACTCAATAGAAGGTTCGAAAAAATATATCTCTAGAATGTGCATAAATGTTTTCTGCCGTGACGATTGAAATTTGATTTCAACTACTGCAAGTTAGAAGACAGGGTATAGCCTACAAGCTCTAATACATCAAGTACGGCTAGTTGTGCTATACAAGAAAAAAAAACATTAATTTGGGGCGAATGAGTTGCACTGTATGATCTATTCATTCATGTTTTCACTAAATATACTCAGAACGAAATACTGTAATGAGTGTTTGCCGACGTCAGTCGGTGTATAGTTTAGACACATTTTGTATATGACGAGTTCTCAGAATTCATTGATGCAGATGTAGCGCTCACGAATCTATGCTATGAGAGTTATACAGTTCAAGAGTGAGCATAAACTGTTAGCAATATCATATTTGTGTCCGAATGCAGTGTGATACAAAAATAGAGGTCCATGTTAAAACTGTATTTCCCTTGTCGGTTTTGTACGATTTTGATCTAAAAAAGGGACTTTTCATTCATTGTTACATTTGGATTTCCGATAGCAGCTGAATGGTATTCATGCAAGTAATACTTTAACCGGAAATATAGACTGTTTCATGAAAAACAATCGTGGATCATAGTACCTGTCACATTTATATCTAGATCTTGAATAGTGCTCAGTGAGACTCTGACTCTTTCAAGCCCATCTCACTGGCTACCTACAATTTCTTATCTAAATTACAAGCATAGATGATAACTTGATCCTTGAAACGGCTGGTTAATTTTTAATTCACCTTTAATCTGTTACTAAACCTGATATTCATAGCTTTAAAATGTTCAAGCTTTCCACTAGATTGTGCCTAAAAAAGAAAAATAGTTGACTGTTCGTTCCAAGTGTTTTGTTTTACTGTCATTGAACTGATACCAACTTTCGATAAGAATCTCTATTGAAGTTTCAAGGAATAGTGTAACAGTTTAGTTCAATTATCAATGCATTTCTTTAAGTGAAATGATGAATTACTTTGTGAATTATATACTTGATTAATGTCCCTCTCTCTCGCGCGCGCGCGCCGTGCGTTTCTCTTTCACCCTCTTCTCATTTTTTCCCGTGAAACCAAAAGAAAAAAAAACAACGTAACTGAAGTATTGATTATTAGTGTCACAGTTGCATCCTGTACTCCACTGACATGCGCAGCAGATGCAACCACCAATATATTTATCTCATTAGTTAATTAAAATGACAATGACGACTATAATTCACCTCTAGAGTTACTAGATGTAGTGAGCTCCGAAATCTGCAGAATGAAATTATTGTTATTATTATTATTTAAATGTGTTAATGAAGCGTAGTAATTTATTGCTCGTTCTTGGCTGAATTCAACTGTTTCTTTTTGGGTTTTTTTTGACAAGGATCACTATAATCCGTATGTTTTAAAGTTAAACTGTTCACCTCGTATCTGCCTACATTCATTAAAATTCGAAACACTGAGTTTCAACTGAAAAAGTTATGTCATCCCAGACAAAATATATACATTCAGTCACCTCATAACTCATCCCATTATCCTAATGCTTTAACTACCATTTCACACTTCTATTCATTCAGTAATCGATGAATAGTTTGACGTGAAACCTGGCTGCCTTTTATTTCAACTTATTTCTCAACCTGTTAATCCTATCCTCATACTCATCTTCATGTATTATTTTTTTGAATTGAATAAAAAGGGGTTTAAGCTTGAGTAGAGTTTTAATTTTGTAAGTAAATAAGTAAAAACTCTACTGTATAATGTTAATCAAATGAATCCTTGAAACCAAATGTTTTTAGGAAGAAATAAGTGTTGAGCACTTATGCTTCACTTACACTTCTTTCACTGTAAGAAGTGCAAAATCTGTTACTGCGGTACTTCGTTACATTATCCTTCATTCATCGTGCGGTACTTTTTACAATAAACTAAATGAACGCTTACTTTAGTTCGTTTGTGAAGAGCAACCAATTACATGTTAACCAGTTTTGTAAATCATGGTTCAAGTCATATCAATTAAGCATGCAATCTGGACATCAAATTTAAAGAGAAGACTTCTGAGAGTTGCAAAAGCCTCCTTTAATTCTGTTAACAACCGAATTCATGTAAATGATACTTAATGATTTGATTGTTTGAAGGATTTCATCACGAGCTGACATCAGTTGGAGAACCACTGGAAGACCTGGGTGTATTGGACAGCTGTTCATATAGTCCTAGTTTGAGACT